ACCTCTCCTCTCCGAACCTCTCCTCTCCGAACCTCTCCGAACCTCTCCGAACCTCTCCGAACCTCTCCGAACCTCTCCGAACCTCTCCTCTTCTTCTCTTCTCTTTCCCTTCTTTTCCCATCTTTTCCCTTCTTTTTCCTTCTTTTCTCTTCTATTATCTTCTTTTCCCTTTTTCCCCCTTCTTTTCCCTTCTCTTCTTTTCTCTTCCTTTCCCTTCTCTTTTTTTCCCTTCTCTTCTTTTCTCTTTTCTCTTTTTCTTCTTTAACCCTTTTTATTTAAAGTCCTTACCTTCACATCCCACACAAAGCCAAACACTTTTCTGTGTGTGCCGATCCTGTGAGCAACCTCTCATATGGAACTTGTCCTTGTATCAGCTGGGCTCTTCCAGAAGGTGAAAAATATCCATTTATTATCTGTGCAAATRTTTACTGCATCCTGAAAGGTTGCCATCAGTGCTCCAGGGAGAGTAAGAAACTGGTCAGGCTGTGCATGACCCAGCCACTGCCCTGCACGGGCTCAGAGCTTCTGAACCTTCTGGAGGGTCTGGAAGCAAAATGCCCATGGCTGAGGCAGCTTCAGTACCCAATTCCTGTGTTCCTGAAGGATGGAATCTCTCCTGAGCTGCCCATAAGGCTTTTTCTGCAGTTTTGAGTGAGGACTAACACAATGATGAATCTGTATCATCCTATTTGGACCATCAGTCCCCAGCCTAAATTCATCACTTCTGGCACAAGCTGGTGCTCACCAGGGATGCCTGAAGCAGCTCAGGTTTTGCATTCACAACAGCACACTTGTGTTTTCTTGATGATTACCAAGAACTGGTTTCCTACTCTTCAGGACACAGTGTACACTCCAGGAACAGTGCTGGGTTTTTTAATTGCTAACTTCATACTGGGAATTTGGTCTTAAACAAGCAATTATTTGGCTGTAAGACCATGTTTTTAAAATCCAGTGTTTACTGTCAGGTGTAAGCCTCTGATCCACGTGCCTGAATGATGCTGTGTGGGCTGTGTGAGGTGCCAAAGGTTGTTCCAGCAGCTCTTTGCCCAAAGGGGGCCCACCTCCCAGCCCAGCATCCCAAACACCTTATTTAGTCCTGAACACCTTTGTTTGGCCAATAACTCTCCTCTATATTAYTTAAACCTTTTCATAGTGCCTGCTAAATTTAATAAGTGCCTTTCCATTAGTCCCTGAGGGTTTCTTGTGACAGTTGCCTTCGTGTGGCCCCCAATCTTGTCTCACAGAGAAAAAGGCAACATTGGTAAGGCAGAATGGAAAGCAAGCACTGTGAATTTGGGCATTAAACTCTAGAATCAGTGTTGACTACTCCTAAAGATTGGGCATTTGAAAGTGCAGTTCAAATGAGGGAAGTAAATGTAGGAATGTGTGTGAGTACAGGAATAAGGCACCATGGACAAGCCCCATGCTCAGAGAAAAGCTGAACTGATCCCAATAGGTCATCATGACACTTGATTATKAATTTATTGATGGCTGATTAGTTCAAACTGAAAATATGGGGTAAGCAGCAGAGGAAACTTAACAAATGAAACATCTTCTCCTAAGAGCATGGAAGTCAATGAGGACAGCGCGTGTGAGGAGACRTGCTCCTGGAGACATGAGAATCAGAGGTCCAGAGTAAGGATTTTCCTCTTTCTGGCTCCTAAGTAACATGTGGTGAGCAGTTACGTGGTAAAGAGAATAAACAGCAATCAGAAAAAAACCCATTGTAATTAACCTTTTTTTTGTTTTTCCCTCGAATTTTACCAAAGGTTCAGAACATCAACATGGATAACTGTGTTGATGTCAAGATAGAAACCAAGGGGGAAAGAATGTCCATGAAGCAGAATGCACTGAGCAAAGGTGGGAAGAGATTCTGCAGAGCTGTGGCTTACCTCACTGGAGACATGAAGGATTTTGGAACCTGGCTAAAAGGTAAACCTACTTCATTGTGACTAATGACAGCAGATTCCAAATAAAAAGTACATCAAAGGAGTAGTAACTAACTTCTCAACAATGTGATTCACRTTGGAGTAGTACAGAAACTACCACTACCCTGATTTATGTCCGTCTTGTAGGGGAAAAAATCAGCTTTGTGCAGAGATCCACATACTGCTTAAATCTTGAGGGCRTCTGAGATGACATTTACCTCCCAACATGCCATGTACACAGCAAATTTAGTCCCACAGAAAATAGCCCTGGACGGTTATTCTGTGCTCTGCCATTCTTCATCACACTCCATGTCCTTTCAGCTGAGCGGTTTCTGTCAAGGCTGATGCCACTGTGAAGTTAAATTACACTTAGGTGGGTGTGTTTGGTCCCCGTAATAAATCAGCGGTGGGATACACACACGATTTGCCATCTGAGCCACAGACATCATAAATTAGCTGGTTCRTATGAATCTGGTCCAGGGCACTTTATAACACAGGGTTCTGGCAGCCACGCTGTTCATCTCAGYTTCCCAGCTGTAAGACTTCAGTGCAGACCATAATAAATCCCTGTCAGGGTTTATGGTCTTGTTGATTCATTGCTTTCCCCATGGTGCCAAGTCCCACTGCCAAAACCCTCCCCGATTTCAAAAATACATCCCAAATCAGCACCATCTGCAGGGTTTAGGGGGGCTGGTTTCATTACTCAGTTTGATGTTTTCCAGACAAGCCTCTCGTGATCCAGCTCCTTGACTGGGTGCTRCGTGGGGTGTCCCAGGTGATGTTTGTCAACAACCCCCTGAGTGGGCTGCTCATCCTCGCTGGCCTCCTGCTGCAGAACCCGTGGTGGACACTCACAGGATGCGTGGGAACGGTTGTCTCGACTTTAACAGCGCTTATTCTGGGTCAGGACAGGTAAGGCCATGCTCTTCCTCCCAGATGTGGCTGTCCTTGGATCCCTGGAAGTGTCCAAAGCCAGGCTGGACAGGGYTTGGATCAACCTGGGATAGTGGAGAGTGTCCCTGCCCATAGCAGAGGGGTGGAACACAGGGTTATTTAGGGTTCTTTCCAACCCAAACCTTCAATGGCTGTGTGACCCAGCCTTCACTGGCCGTGTGGCTGCTCTGGCAGGACTGGACAGATCCTCCCAGGAGGAGGGCTGATGAGAGCTCAGGGGGGAAGGTTTGACGAGAGCTGTTCCTCCCCACAGATCAGCCATCGCTGCTGGCCTGTACGGCTACAACGGGGTCTTGGTGGGGCTGCTGATGGCCATCTTCTCTGCTGATGGAGACTACAACTGGTGGCTCCTGCTGCCAGTGGCACTGGTGTCCATGACCTGGTAAGTCAGATGGCTCCTGGGCTCCTTCTCCCAGCCCCAGAGTCCCCACATGTGAGACCGAGCTGTCACATTCCTACGCAGTGGAAAGGAATCACAGCTAACACACATGCAACTGCTAAATCTGCGTTGTTATTTACACTTCTAAACTCAGATGTCATCCAGAAACAGATAAAAATGCCCACACAATCACAAATAACCCCAGTGGGGAAAGCAAAAATCAATGGCTGATCATGTGTAATTCAATATTATAAATGTGAGTCGTATTGCTGTGATGCATCAATTCATTTCTGTTTCAAGAGGAACATTATTTTCACCATTTCCTACCATCACCAACCACAAGTGTTTCATCTRTTTAAGTCACCATATAAAAATGTCATGAAAATTTACTTCTCCAGGCACAGAAGCTGCTCAGTTGTTCCAAGACGTGATGGTTGACACTAATCAAAACAAACAACTAATAATACTTTGCTCATATATATGACACCATAATCCGCTAGGTATTTGGACAGCAAAAGATTTTGAAACCCAATCTTTGACCCTYCAAACTCCAGTTGCAGATTGCTAAAACCACAGGTGTAATTTGTCTGCCTGAAGTTCTTGTGGTGTTACAATCACTTTGATGTGAGATTTCACTGCTGACCCACGAGTTTTAACAAGGTCACACAGCCACATTTGCAGCTCACTCAGACCCAGCATGGGTGTCCTGCACTCAGGCCACTCCAGGTGCTAAAAAAGAAAAAAAGGTTAACACTGGGATTGATGTGGGAATAAAAAATGGGATCCTGTCTCCTTCACGCTCACCAAATTCACCCTATATATTGAGATAACAGGAATACCTGTACATTGATAACTGCCTTTGGAGGGGAGGGAAATTTATGGAGTGACCCTTYTGCGTCTCTGATTTGATCAGAAAAATTGAGGAAATTGAACAGAAGGAGGAGAGGGGGTTTCTTCTTGGTGTTATTTTAACTAGACCAARTTTGCTGCAGTTGGTCTATGGCTGGATGTGGTTCTGGTGTGGTTTTTGCTTAGCTCACAAACTTCCAGTGAGACAATTTCTTGTTCTTCTTCCAGCCCTGTTTTCACCAGCGCTCTAAGCACAGTTTTCTCCAAGTGGGACCTGCCTGTTCTCACCTTGCCTTTCAACCTGGCCCTGACCCTCTATCTGGCTGCTTCAGGACCACACAACCTCTTCTTCCCAACCACTGTCGTTTCTCCTGCGACAGCAACACCGAATATGACCTGGGCAGACGCTGATATCAAAATGGTAGGATGCCCTAAGGGTAACAGTCTCCTTCATTTACAATTAAAAACACTTGGAAATGTTTTAGATTCCTTTTTAAATTCCTATGACTTGGGTTGGGTGGGACCTTAAACGATTATCCAGTGCCACCCCCTGTCCAGCCTGGCCTTGGACACTGCCAGGGATCCAGGGGCAGCCACAGCTGCTCTGGGCACCCTGTGCCAGGGCCTCCCCACCCTCCCAGCCAGCAATTCCTTCCCAATATCCCATCCATCCCTGCCCTCTGGCACTGCCAAGCCATTCCCTGTGTCCTGTCCCTGCAGCCCTTGTCCCCAGTCCCTGTCCAGCTCTCCTGGAGCCCCTTTAGGCCCCAAAAGGGGCTCTGAGCTCTCCCTGGAGCCTTCTCTTGTCCAGGTGAGCACCCCCAGCTCTCCCAGTCTGGCTCCAGAGCAGAGGGGCTCCAGCCTTGGCAGTATTTTTGCCCCCCTCCTCTGGACTCTCTGCAACAGGTTCACCTCCTTTGTTACTGCCTTATGGCCYGGAAATACAAAATTTCRTTTATTAGATGGCTATTGTCCAAAATATAAGGGTTTACTCTATGGAATGAAATTTTTTGATAGCTTGAAAATTAGAATCTTTATTGGAATCWTTCATTTGCAGTTGGATCTAAGTGTATATATTATAATCTTCAAACGCTCTCTTGAATCTAATTACCCATTTCTGTGCATGTACTGATCATCTTGGCTAAGGTTGTGCTGAGAATTCCAGTTAACCCACAGGGTAATTTTAACTTTTCACATACAGAGTGTTTATAAAATTGCACCTTTCTGGTCAGACATGAGCAAGCAGATATTACTATGGTAGAATGGTTACAAACTTGGGTGCAGGCACACATTCTCATATTTTTAATTTATATTCAAGTGGGAACGTTCCAAAGAAACATTTTATTCTCCTCCATTATACCATAAACAATACAGATACCAGAGTAACAACTTTTTCCTAAGTTTTAGCTGACTATTTTAAGAGGTTCCCAGGGAGTGATTAAGAAAAGTGATCATTCCCAGGGAGTGATTAAGAAAATTTTATRATACAAAATTTATATTTTTAAATWAAGAGAAACCCACAAGTGACATTTCTCAAAGAACACTTACCATGGTACATAATTTAATGGGAACCACAAATGRAAAAGTTCCTCGTAGCCATCTGTAAGCTGTGACCAAGCTGGGCTCTGTCCCATCAGCCCAGCAACTCCTGATCCTATTCCCAGTGGATCCCAAGGGAACCATCCCCCAGGATCACTGTCATGGTCCATATGGGTAAACAGAAATGGTCAGGACAGCCCCACAGGTAGAGGATGATTAAACCCTTTCAGAAAASGTTTACCTTTGACCTTAGAGCAAAAACCTGGCAGAGGAGCTCCTGGTTGGGGAACAAGCTGTGACTCATTTTCATGGAAGGGGAAACYCTGTGGAAATGCCCTGCTGCCTCCCAGAACATGTCCAAATGTTCCACTCAGAAAGGCTAAGTCCAACAAATGCCAAACATGAGCCTGGCCAAGAAAAATAGGGTCTTTTTTAAAAAAAAGTTACAAAGCCGATAATAAATTATCTTGTTTGGTTTGGTTTGTGGTTTTTGGTTTTTTTTTTTCATTTCTGCAGCTCCTGCAATCCGTTCCAGTCGGCGTGGGTCAGGTTTACGGTTGTGACAATCCCTGGACCGGGGGAATTTTCCTGATTGCTTTATTTATCTCCTCCCCACTCATCTGTGTCCATGCAGTGATCGGCTCGGCAGCGGGGATGCTGGCAGGTAACGATCTGATTCATGTCACGAATTTATATAAAATTATGGGAATAAAGCAGGAACTACTATAAGATGAGCTTACAGCCCAAAGTATTTCATCCTTTGGAGAACGGCTGCTTGAAAACAAAACATTCTGAGGCTTGTGTTTTAAGTATTTTGATTGACTTCCTTGTTCTCTTGTTTTATGATGGTGGAAGCCTTTGGAAGAGAGAAGTGTCTTTTGTGCCGAGATGAATTTTTACCATGAAATACTTGGTTTCTGGTGTATATTGGTGGTTTAGGGGCAGATCAGTGAAAATCATGGCCATCAGCCTGAATGCACTTAAGGTTCACACGTAGGCTCAGTCACTCACATGGGTTGTRCTGAAATCCATCAAATCAAATTACCAATTTCCACTCAGCGGCAACAGGAAAATCCTGCCACGACTCCCTTAGACCCTTCCACGTGACTACAAACAGCAACTCCGCGTACACACGCTGGCCAGAACCCTTGAAAAACCTGGATTGGTGCCATTTCTCCGCCTCTTTTATCTCTTTGGCCAAGGAATGACACATCCCTGGCTTTGTTTTCCAGGGCTGAGCTTAGCGACGCCGTTCAGCCAAATCTAYTCGGGGCTGTGGGGCTACAACAGCTGCCTGTCCTGTGCTGCCATCGGGGGCATGTTCTTGGCTCTCACCTGGCAGACTCACCTCCTGGCCATGGCCTGTGGTAGGTAACCAGAGGGATTTCAGCTCTCCTGGCAGTGGGACAGGWTGCCTTTGCAGCAGGGGTGGTGTTCTGGAGCCAGGTGGGCACCTCCAGGCAGGCAGATGGGTGTAGGTGAGGCTRAACGAGCAGTGGACGCTGAAGCCACGGCTCTAACATACCCTGTGCTTTCATTTTCGGCCAAAAGTTGAGTTCAAAGCGAGAGCTGTGATCASTGGACACATGTTGTCTTTGAAATCGGACGCTTTGTTTTGAGTCATTAATTGTGTTTGTTCATCCGCTGCTGGATGAGTCCATTTGGGTTTTTTCCAGCCACAGATACCAGCTCAAATTCTGTCTTTGAAGAAGGAYGTGACTAATCTTTGAGCAGAGAGGAGCTCGAGATCTGTCCACAGCTGCAGTCAGGCAGTGCACACTCCTCATTTTCTTGAAATGGATCAAAGGCATGAGCTGGGCAACACTGCCGGATTGAGGAATTATTTATAAGGCAATTCCACATGAAATTTCAATATCAGAGCGAGCTGGCAGTGAAACTATTGCTCATTCAGGGCTCGTATTAGAAAGATTTAGCTCAGTATGTCATTGACCYGCCTTCAAGCCCTGGAGGCAGGACAGATGAGGGTGGAAGGGTTATTTTCCTGTTTAACCCCATCCATCAAGCTGCATGCTTCCCATGTCAGTGCATTTTTCAAAAGCCTGTGATACCACAGCACATTTTTCATCCCTCCTATTCTTTTTGTTTGCTGGTTTGTTTGCTTGCTTTGCCCCTTCCATAAGCTCCAGGTTAGAGGGGACACAGGAAGGGATTTTAGCAGGGTACTGTCCACACATGGTGACAATCATTGTCTGAGCCACTCAAGGCAGAATTAGGAATGTTTGTCCTTGTCCATGAGTAACTGGACTCACCAGGAACTGCCTTTCTTTCCCACAGCACTCTTCAGTGCCTACCTGGGAGCAGCAGTGGCCCACATGCTGTCTGTGGTAAGCAGTGCTCCAGCCAAGGCCTGGTTTCCAACGCTGAATTTTTCCCTGGTTTGTCAGGCAAACACCAAAACATGGAGAACAATTCAGCCCAAGGCAGAAACTGTCTGGGAGAAGGGTTATATGTGCCCAGAGGGTTGGTGGGATTCCCACTGAACAGAGGATATGAGCTCCCACAGCCCAGCTCTAGACATTTATGAGATCATGGAATCATGGAATGGTTTGGGTTGAAAGGAACCTAAAAACCCATCCAGTGCCAACCCTGCCCTGGGCAGGGACACCTTCCACTGTTCCAGGCTGCTCCCAGCCCCAATGTCCAGCCTGGCCTTGGACACTGCCAGGGATCCAGGGGCAGCCACAGCTGCTCTGGGCACCCTGTGCCAGGGC